TTGGGGTACGCTGTATGCACGACGCGGACGGCGGCTCACGTCGTGGTTCCACAGGGCTTTTGAGCACCGCGTCGCTCATCTTCAACCGAGTCATCGGGACTGGGTGCGCAAAGTCTACATCGCGGGCATAAGTCCCGTATATTGCGCTGAATGGTTCTCCCGTTCACGCGCAGGATATTCGCCACGCCGAGCGTGATCCTGCGGTCTTCAGGGAGCGTCGGGCTTTCGCTCGTCATGTGGCTCCTCGGTGCGACTGTCGCGCTGTGCGGGACGGCGGTGTACATGGAGCTCGGGACGGTCTGTCCATGCCGCTTTCTAACGCCTGCAGAGGTACTGAACGGAGCATGACCAGGGTCTGCCGAGGAACGGCGGCGAGAAGAACTACTTGGAGTTCATATACCGCCGTCCGAAGCTGCTCGTGACGTGTGTGTATGCGATGTATGCGGTCCTGACGGTGCGTTGATCCTCTGGGCATACATTGGAGGTCATTCTTCGGAGCTGACTGTCGCCTGTGTAGGGATGGCAGGCGGCGTCGTGTGCGGTGTTTGGCGAATGTGAGTGTGCCTCTGTGCCTTCTCCGCGTGGTGTGCGGCACGAATTGACTGCCCTTACTCGCAGATGCCCTCCACGCGCTCAACCCCTCCCAGGCCCCATCCGCGAGCGACTCCCGTCTGGCTGGGGTGATATGCATCACGGCGGCACTGTTCCTGCACGGAACTATGCTGAAGGCCGGCCTGCGTTTGCAGAACGCGCTCGGCTTGTTCAAGCTGGGGGTGCTCGTCGTCATCGCTCTCAGTGGGGTGGCCTCTTTGCTGCATATCAAGGGCTTCAGAGTCGAGAACGTGAGTGGAGCCAGGCGCGGGTGCGCGTTACATGACTGAGTCGTATGTGTCTACCAAAGCCTCCACGCAACTTCGAGTGGGACCGGATGTGGGAGGGCAGCCTGAGCGGCGGCGCGAACGCGTTCGTGACCGGGCTGTTCAACGTCATCTGGTATGCTCTGTCTGTGGCCGTTGCATCAATGCACGCTGATCGCCCGTGTCTACAGGTGCTTCATCGGGTACTCGAACGCGAACTACGCGCTCGCCGAGGTGCGCGACCCGGTGCGGACGATCAAGCGCGCGGCGCCGCTCGCGATGGTCTCGGTGACCGCCGTGTACTTCCTCGTGAACGTCGCGTACCTCGCCGTGGTGGACAAGGAGGAGATCATCAACAGCGGTCGGATTGTCGCTGCCTTGCACTTTGGGAAGCTGTGGGGCGTCGGCGCCGAGCGTGTATGTCAGGCTGGCTGAGAGTGCTCGGGTGTGCACTGGTGCTGACTCTCGCCGGTCGTTGTGTAGACTGTGAGCGTGATTGTAGCACTGTCTACTCTGGGGAACATCTTGGCGGTGTTGTTCACCCATGGCCGCGGTACGTGGTTCTCTGCGGTGTCGAGGAATCACGAAAGTCTGACGACCCACGCAACAGTTGTGCAAGAGTTGGGCCGAGAAGGAGTGCTGCCATTCTCCTCCATCTTCGCTAGCAACAAGCCCTTCAACGCGCCCCTCGCTGGTCTTTTTGAGCAGTGGTTCGTGACCTCTACGCTCGTGCTCCTTGTGCCGCCTGGGGATACGTATCTCTTCATGCTGAATCGTAAGTAGCGCATGGCTTTGATACTCTACTACCTATTAACGGTCCTCGTATGCAGTGTCATCGTACCCTCTCGCGCTGATCAATATGTTCGTATCGGGCGGCCTCTCCTTCATTCACCTGCCAGACAGATGGCTATCCGAAAGGCTGCAAGAGCTTCGCGCGTCATACGGCTGGCGTCCGCCATTCCGGAGCTGGACGCTCGTGACGCTTTTCTTCTTCCTCAGCAATGTCTTCTTGGTCGTGGTGCCATTGATACCCCCTGCAAGAGACTACCGAGTATACGAGTCGCTGCCCTACTGGGTGCGTGTTGCATTCACACTGACAGGAACTCTTCATTGTGCTGACGGGCGTGGCTGCAGTCCCATGTGCTCGTCGGGTGGGTGATATCACTCGCGGGCGTCGCGTACTGGTATATGTGGTGCGTATGGCTGCCGAGACGGGGAGGGTATTCGTTGGTGCGGGAATGGACACGGGATGACGACGGTACGACTAGACGGGTGGTCCGTAAGGTGAAAATCACATAGACTTTGCGGCGGTGAATTGATGGGCGGTGGTGCCCCTGTAGTGCAAGCTACGTCTGTCGGCGAGCGCCCGCGCCCGCACGTCGTCCGAGAGCGTGGTGGGGCATGCGCGCATCGACTGGACGAGTGGAGAGTCGTCCGGCTGAAATTTCTGGGCAGTTCCAACGACGCAGAGGGTCCAACTGCACTTGCCTGTTCGGGCGGTGCTATCCACTATGACGTCGCCACGTGCACCGACGCTCGTCTATGATGCAACCCGTCCCACCCGCTCACCACCGCCCGGCCGCGGTGCGTAGGCGTATAAGAGCCAGGCGAAGATGGTCGGGGCTCCTCACCAACGCAGTCGACCGACAACTCATTCGCATCGCTCACCTTCACGACTTATTCAACGACCCCAACCACCCACAACGCACACACCACCATGTCTGGCTCCGACTCTCCCGTGACCTTTGGCCGCCACAACGACTTCGTCGGCGGTGACGCCAGCAAGGGGAGGATCCCGGGCGCCGACAAGGCGACCTCTGGACACCACTTTGTTGCTGTTGACGTCCCTCACAGTACGTGCGATTTTGACTGCATATTCGCGGGCTCGAGCCTGACGATCTCGATCCAGACCAGCAGCGCCCACAAGAGCACTTGCCTCCTTCAACGGGCCGTGATCAACCTCCATTGGGCATCGCCCCTGGCTCTCGCACCGGTCCTGCACGGAGTATGTTCGCTGCATAATTGCCATCAAAGACGTGAATCTGACTACCATCTTTCAGACCTCGAGTCCGACATCCTGAACGCACACGCCGCGGACCGCCGCGAGCCCTCGCCGGTGCACCACATCACGAACAACCAGCAGCCGCTCCCGCCCGCGCCGGACTCGCGCACGGTCGTCGACCGCGACCCGTACGCGACGCCGACCGCGGTCGGCGACACGCTCGGCGGCGCAACGTCCAAGGACGTGAACGACGGGCTCGGCCACCCCGGCCAGGGCCAGACGAGCGCGGAGCTGCACCACGATGGGTCCGCGCACCGCAAGCGCCAGCTGCGCGGCACGGAGCAGTTTGGCTCGGGCGCGATCCCGCGCGAGATCGGCTCCGAGGCGGAGCAGCCGGGCGAGCTCTACAAGAGTTGAACGGTCGTGGGCGCGCAGGAGCGCAGGACGCGGTGGATGAGTGGACCTTAGAGATGTGAAGCATTCGACCACGTGTATTTGTAGTGTATAGCGCAATTATTTGGGCTCACTAGAACATCGAGTGCTTGTGTATCGTCCGAACCAAGCCCGAAAAGCTTGTCCGAAGAAAGTCGTACGCGACGCAGAGCAATACTGCTAAATGGCTTGCAAGCCCTCAAACTCAGGTGGTTGTCAAGCCATGTCAATAAATAATATTGATGCATTCAGCGCGAACGGATATAATGTGGTTTCGGAAGATAATACCGTTCCATTCGTAGTGATACAAATAAGCAATAACGATACACAGCAAGAATAACGATAGCGGAGCGAGAGCAGAACGAAAGCAATGGGCGCTGCCCCAACGAGGGAATGAGTGTGTCGGCGCGCGGTAGTCGCAGGGAAGAGAAGTCGTGTGCGGGGCGTTTGGTAGTTTCTTGTGTCGTGTTTGAAGAGACCCAGGGCCTGTTGTTGTTTGTGTTCATGCGATTGTGTTTAGGTTCGTAGGGCGAGGCGTTTAGGCGTAGAGATGGGGGTTTATGACTTCATGACGAGGAGGGCGATGGTGATGACAGCGGCGGCGACGAGCGCGGTAGCGAGGAGAGCCCAGAGGCAGCGCTTCGCCCACTTTATCTCCGTGCGGCGCATAGACTCGATGATCTCCTGCCGCTCGTACTCGGGCTTGCTCGACTCCCAATCCGAGGGCGCCTCGAGGGGCGAGAGGAGGATGAACGCGCCTGCGATCCAGAAGAGGGGGAAAACTGGGAGAGGGACTCGCATGAGTATGCATGGTCGGAACTCGGCATAGAAGGATGTACTCACGGAAGCCGAACTTGAAGAGGTACATCGCGAGCGTCGGTTGGTCTGCCACGCGCGAGTACGCGGGCGGGTCGAGCGAGCACTCGTACGACGGAGGGGGCACCTGCGACTCGACGTCGTCGTCGGCAGGGGTGGAGACGCAGACGTCGTCGTGGCGGCTGTTGTGCGTGCCCAGGAGGCTCCGGCTCGAGCTCGAGCGCGACGCCCCGAAGAAGTCGTCGATCGCATTTGTCGTGGGCTCGTCTGTAGCAGACGCGCTGCTGTGGCTGGAGCGCGAAGAGTGGGTGCGCGCAGGGCTGGGCTGCTGGAGCTGGGCCTCGATGTCGAGCTCGGGAGTAGTCGAGCGGTCGAAGAGGCCGAAGATGGTGGGGCGCGAGGCCGCGGATGAAGAAGAGGCAGCAGAGGCAGACATCGTGGATGAGAACGGTGCTCGAAGACTGGCTAGGTGATTGGAGAGGTGGACTTGGAGGACTTGACTGAATCTGAGAGCGGTGGTGGTGATGAGGCCATGGCGTGGACGCAGAGGATATATATGCCCTCCCGAGGGGCAATCGAGCGAGCTAGTGCGCGACGGAGGCTCTTGGGAGCAATCGCAGCAAGCGCAGGGCGGGATTGCGCTCGGCTCCTGTGTGCGGACAAAGCGGCGCAAACACACGCACACCTGCCTCTCCCGGTACTTCGCCTCGTCTCGCTTGGCGGGTGCATGCCGTGAGAGAGCGCGACCGACGGGCGGCGTCTGTGGGTGTCTTCGCTTGTTACGCGGACGAGCATAATCGGGAGGCCACGAGGCTACTGAACGCCGTCGGTCGATGGCTTGAAAGAGATACCAAAGCCTGATGGGACTCATTGGAGGCCAAAAAACCAGCATTAGCCCACCGCGAGGGTCGAACTCGCAGCCTTCAGATGCCCTTCCGCTTGTAACGGATAAAAGTCTGACGCTCTGGCCGATTGAGCTAGGCGGGCATGTTTTTATCGCTATTTTTGAAAGCATATTCGGGTGCGCCACCGGGACAACCCCCTGATCATCTCTCGTGGAAGCGTCTTGCCCGGCTCCACTGACATTCTGCGTTTCTGCGATATCGTTGGTGTTACGGAACCTTAGTTTCTATTGCATGCTCGGGAAAAACTGGCTACGTGGAGTTCTTGCCCTCCAAACCCAAAAACAATCCCTTAGCCCACCGCGAGGGTCGAACTCGCAGCCTTCAGATTGTTCAAGGCAGAATAGAGCACTGAGATCAGACTAGAGCGACAGGCAACAAGTCAGAGATCAATTCAGTAAGTAAAAGTCATAAGTAGCGCACCTAGAGCGACAGGCAACAAGTCAGAGATAAGGAGACTTGTTGACTGGCGCTCTGAGGTGGGCAGGAGCAGAACTGTACAGTAACTCGTCATAGGCCGAAGTCCGAACTCTAAATGACAGCGCATCAGCAGAATAACGTAAGTAAGGATGCCGGGCATGCCGAGGTAACGGGTTCGAGTCATAGGCGCTAGACAGCGCGTAGACCACCTCCAACACACCCCCTTGATCGAGCACGTCTAGCGCGCAAGACCACAGAGCCCCGCCATATGTTCCAACTTGACTCGGCCTAGGGCCTTCGTCATCATGTCGGCAGGCATGTTCACCGTCTCGAGGTGGACAAGCTGGATCGAGCCGCGATGCACCTCATCACGCAGCCAGTAGAACCGGAGGTCGAGGTGCTTCATGCGCCCATGATGCTCCGGGTTCTTGGCCACCTGCAGCGCCGAGTTGTTGTCGATGAAGAGCGTGCTGGGCGCGTCCTTGACCGGGTACCCCAGCTCGGTCAGGAAGTTGCGCATCCAGAGCATCTCCTGGCCAGCCGCCACGGCAGAGATGTACTCGGCCTCGGTCATCGACAGCGCGACTACTGTCTGCAGCTTGGACGACCAAGAGACCGGCGCACCTGCCATCATGACGATCTGCCCGCTGGTCGAGCGCCCGTTGTCCGGGTTACCACCGTGGTCCGCGTCTGTGTAGGTGCGGAACAGCTCGTCGCCGGGCTTCACCTTGCTGCCATCGTAGATAAGCTTGTAGTCAAGCGTCCCCTTGATGTAGCGGAACACGCGCTTCAGCGCAAGCCAATGCGCGCGTCCTGGATGAGCGGTGAAGCGGGCGAGGACGGAGACGGGGTAGGCGAGGTCCGGACGGGTGGCGAGCGCGAGCCAGGCGAGCGCGCCCACAGCAGAAGCGTACTCCTTGCCATGAGTGGCCATAAACTCGACGTCCTCGGGCGTGCTTGGGACGTCGTCAGCGCGCAGCTTAACAGACGGATCGAGAGGCGTCAGGACTGGGCTGCAGTCCTTCATACCGTAGCGCTCAAGGATGTCCAAGGCATACTGGCGCTGCGAAAGAGACAGCTTGCGCTCAGAGCGCTCGCGCTCAATGGCAACGCCTAGCAGCCACGAAGTCGGACCGAGCTCGCGCAGCTTGAAGTGCTTCTTGAGCTCCTCAATGATGCCGAGCGCCTGCGCGTCGTTGCGGGCCGCGATGGTCATGTCGTCCACGAAGACAGGGATCATGATGCGCGCCTCACCACGCCCGTAGACCCAGACGCTGTGGTCGCAGAGAATGCGCGTGAAGCCCATCTCGACTAGGACGCGGTTCAGCGTCTCGTGCCAGACATGACTCGCCTGCTTCAGCCCGTAGAGCGACTTCTTGAGGCGCCAGACATAGTCCTTGTTGCGCGTCTCGAAGCCAGGCGGTTGGCGCATGTAGATGACCTCGTCGAGCCAGCCATTGAGGAAGGCGTTGCTGATATCGACTGAGTACAGGACAAGGTCTTCAACAGCGGCGAGGGCGAGGATGGTGCGGATGGCGGCCCATTTCGGCGTAGGCGCGAACGTCTCGGTGTACTCGAAGCCGGGACGCTGGGAGAAGCCCTGCGCAACGCAGCGCGCCTTGTAGCGCTCGATCGAGCCGTCAGCCTTGCGCTTGACCTTGAACACCCACCGGGAGCCAATGGCGCGTGCGCCAGGCGGCAGAGGGACGAGCTCGAAGGTGCCGTTGTCCATGAGTGCCTGGATCTCGTCAAAAGCGGCCTCGATCCACTTCGAGCTGTCAGAACGCTGCATCGCCTCTGCAAACGTCTTCGGCTCGGACTGGGGCGCGTCTGTTGGGAGGATGGCCTGGTAAGCAAAGTCAAATGCCTGAGACACTGACCACTGCTCGTCCTGGACCCCATCGAACACATAATCGAGCCCGGCCTGCATTGCAAACTGGCCAGGAACCTCGGTGTCATCCTCCAAGCGTAGCTCGCCGTCATTACTACTGTAGGACGGCACGGCTGACGCGGGGGTAGGCGATTCAGGCTCAGGCTCGGACGCCGGAGCGGGCGAACCAGGCTCAGACTCGGGCTCCTCCACCTCCTCGATGCGCGCCTGCAGCGGCTCGAACGCGTTGGGAGACGCGAAGGGCGCTGGCGCGGGAGAAAGGGAGGTGCGGACCACGGCAGTTGTAGCACGTCGGGACGAACGCGGCGCGGTTGGCGGCAAGCGCGCCGCTGGTGTCCGTGAGGCCGCGAGCAGCGAACTCGCGGTCGAAAACGCTCTTGATCGTCTCGTACGTCATGGCGGGGTCAACCAGCAGTGAGGTATAGAGCGTCTCGTGCTGCGAGGACTCGGACGAGGCGAGCGCACGCATGGCGACCATCGCGCAGAGCTCCTCGTCGAGCGTCTTAATGTCGTACCCCGAGTCAGGGCGTAGAGCCTGGATGCGAGCGATCCCCTCGTCGATGCGAGAGAGGAGCGCCTGCAGCGAGGCGGCGTCGTCGGACTCGTCGAGGCCGATGTTGAAGAAGTCGTTGAGCGCAGCAAAGCGCGTCCCAGGGACCTGCTTGTGGAACTTCGCCTTCAGCGCCTTGAGGAGCGCTTGGGCGTCGTTGCGATGCGCCCGGAACTCGGGGCGCAGAGACTCGTGGATGGAGAGCCAGACCTCACCGGCAGCGCGCTCCATGTTGCGGTCAAACTCCTCCAAGAGGCGGTACGCCGTCTCAGAGATGTTGGCGGGTTCCGCAGGCCGGTAGCGCGTCGCCTTGCCATTGGCGTAGCGAGAGAGGCCCTGCTTGTTAAGCCACGAGGACATCTCGTCCTCATACCAGCCCCAGTTGAGGCGGGTAAGTGTGGGACGGCCGTCCTGATCGCGCTGAGCCATGACGAAGATGATGATGGTGAGGGGGAATGAGAGGGGTCCGGTTTGAGCCGATCGGAGCACACGTTTTTCAACGGGCGATTGCGGGCGATAAGACGATTTTCGCGGGACGCGGTCAACACGAGCGGGTAAGGGAGAAACTAGCGCGTCGATTGCCGCCCGAACGGAGTGAATCGCAGCAGATCTGACCTCGGAAAATTGCAAACAAGTCGCAAGTCGAAATCAGGCTCTAGTGAATGGCTAGAGCGCAGGGCTCATAACCTGTTCAAGGCAGAATAGAGCACTGAGATCAGACTAGAGCGACAGGCAACAAGTCAGAGATCAATTCAGTAAGTAAAAGTCATAAGTAGCGCACCTAGAGCGACAGGCAACAAGTCAGAGATAAGGAGACTTGTTGACTGGCGCTCTGAGGTGGGCAGGAGCAGAACTGTACAGTAACTCGTCATAGGCCGAAGTCCGAACTCTAAATGACAGCGCATCAGCAGAATAACGTAAGTAAGGATGCCGGGCATGCCGAGGTAACGGGTTCGAGTCATAGGCGCTAGACAGCGCGTAGACCACCTCCAACACAGATCACCCTGGGTTGCCGTGTCGGACCCGTAAGAGTCTGACGCTCTATCCGATTGAGCTAGGCGGGCGATGTAAGTCGTTGTCTGCTTTGCAATATGAGCCAGCCATAATTATGCAGAACAGCTATCATGACAGAAGACGATCGACCCGAAGGACACTGCAGGAATTTCCACAGAACCCTCGGGGCCGTTCCGGGAGCGGGGTGTCGATGACAGCACCAATGAGATTCCCCGGAACGGTTAGGATCCGTTTGACACAGGACGATCTCCAACCGAAGCCCAAAAACACGTTCAACCTTCACATGGTAGGTCACCGACCGGACACCACGGTTGCGGCGAACGTGAGCATCGCGACGAATCACAAGTAGAGCTGGTGTTGCCCCGACGTCAAAACACCACCAACCGCCGGTGCGTTATGGGTCTCCGAGTTGGGACAGCTGAAAGTTCAGGTGCCAGCGGCGTGGTTGGGAGGACATCAAACCTAGATGCTTGCCATATATGGGCGGAACGGGTGGAGTTTCATTTAGCTCGGGCAGGTGAAGAGGACTCCCGATCCGCTCGTCATCGTCGCGCTGGACGCGTCGCTGGAAGACACGCTCTCTTTCTCGCCTTGCGCGCTGTCACAACCCAACCAACCGCGTCATGGCTGCCCATGCGCGCCGACCGGCGAGCCGGCGCGCGGCAGAGGCCTGCGCCGGGTCTGGCGCGCGCATGCACCGCGTGTGGTTGGTGATCGTCCGTGCGCCGTCCGGCGGCGGCGTCTGCTCCTGCCAGAAGCGGTGCAGCATGCTATTCCTCTTCCCGATCCGGACGGGGGGTGGCATGGACGCAGCTGGGGCTGTCGAAGAGAAGGCGGACGTGATGGACGGGCTGTCCTCCGCTCCCAGTATATATACCGCCCCGCCCCGCCCCCGCCCTTCTTTCCCGTCTGCACCCACATCTTCCCGCCCGCCCTAACTCTAATCGCCCTCCGAGTACAACTTTACCAGCTTCCCCCGTAAGTCTCGCCGCCACGACGCAAGAACGCCGACGTCCACTGTACGAGTACAGCTACTCTCTGCATACTAGGTTCTCCTACTCTTCGTCCACGGCCCTATAACTCCTTCTCTACGCCTCTTTCCAATCAGTCTCTTCCCCTCGCAGTCGTTTCACGCAATGTCCGGGTCTCCAGCTCTCGCCGCACAGCTCTCTCCGAATCGTTCCCCTTCGCTTTCGTCAGCTTTCCCTCG